CTCAGTGACCCAGAATTAGTAAAGTTTGACTACATTTATTTCAGAAGCATTTTGGCTGTAGAGCAGTGTAATTAGTTGTCAAAATCACTAGTTTTTATGATACCTTTCTAGTAAAAAGAATTCTTCAAATTCAGCTTACCTGTTTGGATTGTCAAGCTGATAAAACTAAGTGTAATTCCCCAAACTTTACCATATAATGTATGGAAATAATGTTGATCATTAGAATAAATAACATTCTCTGTGAGAGTTGATAAGGGAATATACTCTAGCTTCTGGTGGTACACAGGTAGAATTTTTTAAGAATTCTGTGAGCTAATATAGTTTATCTCATTCAGAAAAAGAAATTGTATAAGGGAAGACCTAAAGCAAAGCCAACTGTTTCTTCTGAGACGTTTAATATAAACATAGTTTGAAACTAGGCAACCCTAATGAGCTATGAAGATCCAGTTAAATTGGTAACATTTGAAAGTTGTCACAACTGTGCTTTTGCATTAGCATTACATGTGATTAGAATTTATTCACTGGGCCAGAAACAATCCTCAAAGCAAGAATTTTCAGCACCTTTGGAATATGCTATTTCCTTCAATGAATTAGGTAGTTATACTACTGCTTCAATAAAAGTTGTGTTGTCTTTGTTTTTTAAAATAATTTCCTTAGGAGCATAGTTGTACAAATTGAGGTGATGGATAATTTTAGGATTAATGGGTTCTCTTCATGGTGGATTTTTGTTTGGTTGGTTGTGTGTGTATGTGTGTATCTGAGTGTGTCTAAGGGCTTGTCTTCACTATCTAGGAGATTGACACTGCTGCAATCGATGCAGGGGGTGTTGATTTAGCAGGTCTAGTGAAGACCTGCTAAATTGATGGCAGAGGGCTCTCTGGTTGACTCTGGTACTCCAGCTCCCCAAGAGGAGTAAGGTAAGTCGACGGATGACAGCGCAGTGAAGACACTGCAGTAAGTCGACCTAAACTACCTCGACCCCACTTACAATATTCACGTAGCTGGAGTAGTGTAATTTAGGTCGACTTACCCTGGTAGTGTAGACAAGGCCTAGAATGGCACACAATAGAAATTACTAGGATGATGGTTACTGTGCAGTACAAAGCACCTAAGAGATCATGTACACTTGGAAAATTGCCAAACTAGCTATTCCAGTATATTTTTTCTGGAATTGCTATTTCACTATAACATTTCATGTGGACACTCTTATTCTGGACTAAGATTGCCTTTTCCTGGTTTAGCTTAATCCGCTTCCAAATAAGAGTGTCCACACAGGGTTTATACGCAAATAACTATTCCAGAATAGTGATTTCAGAAAATTTTCAAGCATAGACAAGCCCATAGGCTGACTGCCATTATTTCTTTTAATAAGGCAGCTATGTTATCTGATCAAAAATACAGACTACTTTAGATGTATTATTTTCTTCTTCGAGTAGTGTCTTGATAAGTGCTCCACTAGAGGTGTGTCTGTACCCCTGTGCCTCTAATAGGAAATTTTAGATAACACTGTCTGTTGAGCCTGCACGTGTGCTTTCCTCCCTCCTGGTCTGCCTCAAGGTTGTCTAGCGCTGCATGGGTGAACCCCCTGCAGTTCTTTCTCAACCAGCTTTGATCTGGAACTGAGCAAGCAGTTGTCACTTCCTTATCTGTGTCATTAGCATAAGTAGGAGTTGTTGATTCTTTTGTTCTCCTTAATAGTTAGTGTTTCCTTTTTATGCTGTTGGAATGAAAAAGAAAAAATAAAAGAAGAAAAAGAACTTCAGCTTGTTTCCTGCCCTTCCTGGGGAAATTGCCACCCCTCCCAGGGACATTTTGAAGACTTGCTAAATTCTTACAGTTTAAGAAAAAAGAAGAACTTTCTTCTGCATTCCTCATGCCAAGAGGATGATAGCCTCCCTTCCCCCTCCCACCGCCCAGGCCTGCCCAGTTCCCTCCAGCTTCAAGAGGTGCCGCTCCTGTAAGGAAACAATTCCTGTAATGGACAGACACTCTCACTGTGTCTGGTGTCTGGGAAGTGCTCCCTCTGCTACCAGCTAAAGCCCAGGTCTCACAAGAACCAGGAGCTGAAGTGAAGGGGACACTGGTGCTGATCTTGGATCATCCCGAGAGTCTTCAACTTCAAAGGGAGTAGAGTCACAGAAAAGGCCAGCAGATTCCCCCTGTAAAGTCTCTAGAAAAGGGGCTCCAAGCCTCCAAACTGAATCATTGGCCAGCCAGAGGGTTTTCCGAGTGTGATCAGCCACCTTGCTACCAGCGGCTCTGAAGCGTAGTACCCAGAAGTATCAGAGTCCCTCTGCTATGAGCTATGCCGCACTACCTAGAGATGCCAGGCGCTGTCCGGAGCCCCTGAATGGGAGGAAGAAACTTTTGAGTAACAGGAGGAAAGGCTTGAAGGGGAAGCTACTTCTCGTCTTTGCCAGATGAGGCTTTAATGCCCTTCCCTTCTCTATCACTAGTTGATGATTTCAAGAACTTCCAAGACCTTACTAACAGGGTGGTGGATGAGCTGCAGATTCCCCTACAGGAGGTGACAGATACACATGACAAGCTGGTGGATATTCTGCACACGTCCTCCTCGTTCAGAATTGCCCTCCCAATTAATGAGATGATTCTAGATCCTGCCAAAATCACCTGATAGACAACAACCTCCATTACACCAACCTGCAAGATAGCCAACAAAAAAATACTACATCCCTCCCAAAGAGGCAGACTTTGTGTTTCAACATCCGCAACCCAACTCCATCATGGATGTGGTTAATGCACGAGGCAAGCAACATAATGCCAAGTTGAGCCCATATGATCAGGATTGGAAAAAGCTAGATCTCTTTGGGAAGAAGATGTATTCATTGGCCACATTGCAGTTTAGAGTAGTAAACTATGAACCTGTCATGGCCAGATATGATCTTATTAATTATGGGAAACTTAGTGCATTTCTGGAACATTTATCGGAGACACAAAAGGAGCAGTTTCAGGCAGTTGTCAGAGAGGGTCAGTTAGTTAGCCAGAACAGTGCTACAGACAGCACTGGATGCAGCTGATGCAGTGGTCTGCTTGGTCTCCACAGCAGTGGTAATGAGGCAGGCTTCTTGGCTACATCTTTCTGGGTTGCCCAAAGAGCTGCAGACAACAGTGGAAGATCTTCTGTTTGAAGGGCTTAAGCTCTTTCTGGAGAAGATAGACTCTTCTCTCCACACCTTGAAGGATTCCCAGATCACATTACACTTCCTGGGAATCTACTCTGTGGAACAGAAGTGAAGATTTAGCTCTCAGCCAAAGTACAGGCCATGACCTCCTCAATGCCAACTGTCTCAGAGCTTTTACAAGCTACAGCGTAAGAGGCCCAGGATTCAAAAGTGGAAGCAGTTAGCACTCTAATCCATAACTTCTCAGACTGCCTCTTCTAAGCACTTTTTATGGGTTTGTCGACAACCCGAACAATTACACCTTGCAACATCAACTGGCATCTACACACCTGACATGCCCCTTCAGAAATCAACTGGTCTTTTACAGCAGTTGGGAGAAGATCACCTCTGACAGATGGGTTTTGGAAATTATTTCGAAGGGTTACACAATTCAATTCACATCACTTCCCATTCCCACCCTTCTTCCCCATCCCTCTTCAGGGATCCTTCTCACAAGATCTACTTTGGCAGGAAATAGATAATCTGTTATGCCTAGGGGCCATAGAACCAGTTCCAGCATAACTCAGGAGCAATGGGGGTTTACCCCTGTTACTTTCTTATCACAGCGGCAAAGGGAGCTTGCAGGTCCAGTCTAGCTCTAAGGGCATTAAGCAAATATGTGAAGATGCAGAAGTTCAAGATGGCAATGCTAGCAACCATTATTCCAGCTCTAGAGAAAGGAGATTGTTTTTCAGCCCTCAACCTACCTACAAGATGTCTATTTCCACATCTTGAAACAACCGTTGCACAGGAGATGCCTCTGATTTATCTTTGGGCAGGACCATTATTTGTTTGGGGTGCTCCCATTTGGGCCTTTCATCCGCACCCAGGGTATTCTCCAAGGTTCTCTGTGTTGTAGTAGCGCACCTGCGAACATTATGATCTACCCCTACCTAGACGACTCCTCCTCGGGGCTCCCTTGTTTCAGGACACCACACAAGCCACCCAGATGACCATTTGCATATTTGTACAGCTGGATCTCCAGCTCAACATACAGAAATCAACACTGACCCTGATACAGTGACTGGAGTTTATCAGTGCCAACCTCGATGCAGTACAAGCAAGAGCATTCCTCCTGCTACACAGACTCACCGCCCTTATAGGTCTCATAGAGACAAGCCAGGCCATCCCTCAAACATCAGCCAGGAACTCCCCGCAGTTGCATATGGCAGCATGCACCTTCGTCACCACAAACGCCTGGATGTTCATGAGGTGTCTTCAAATGTGACTTGCTTCTGTCTATTCCCCGAACAGCAACAGTCTAACCAAACTGCTATTACTGCCCTCTGCAGTAATGCACTCCCTGGTGGAAAGACCCATCAAATGTCCGTGCAGGCATTCTATTTGTGCAACCACCACCAACGCTGACTCTAACAACTGATGTTTTCCTAATAGTTTGGGGAGCGCTCCTACATGGCTACAAGGTTCAAGACAAGTGGTGTTTCACAGAAGTGACCTTCCATTCAATCTTTTGGAGCTAAGGGCCACCAGGAATGCCTGTGCACATTTTCTGCCTTTCATCAAGATCACCCACCCCCAGGTCATGATGGACTATATGACCTGTGTGTTTTACATAAATTGCTAGGGAGGCACCAGATCTCCCTCCCTCTGCATTGAAGTACTGAAACTTTGGAATTGGTACATCCATCACAATGTGTTCATCTCAGCTGTCTATCAGGGATACAGAACATGACAGCTGACAATCTCTGTCAGAACTTTTCTCATGACCACAAATGGGAACTGAACTCAGAGGAGCTTTGAGATATATTCTCCCTTTGGGGAACCCTAACTACATATCTCTTCACCAGTTACCAGAACAAGAAATGTCTTCATTATCGCTCCAACGCTGGCCTGGGGAAACATTCATCATCCCATAGGACAGGGACCTCTTGTATGCCTTTTCCCCATTTTCTCTTCTATCCAAGGTTCTGTTGAAAATTCGACGAGACAAAGTGAAAGTTATTCTGATTGCCCCCTCCTGGCCAAGGCAAGTCTAGTTCCCTTACCTGACTCAGATGGCAATATGTCCTCCGATTCCTCTTCAGCCCATTCCCTGCCTGATCCTTCGCCCCAACCTTCGGGTCCTCTGTCTCCAGGCTTGTCTCCTTCTTGGTTCCAAGACTTAGAGGTAGAATGCTCTGATGAGGTGAAAGACATGTTGCTGCTGCACAGCTAAAAGTCAGCCACTCGACTTACTTACCTACAAAAATGGAAACAATTTCAAGTTTGGTGTCATTCTAAACACACAGACCCTACCTCGTCTTCCCTCCCTCTGATTTTAGACTATATTTTAGATCTTAAGAGGTCAAAACTCTTACTTAGCTCCCTTAAGGTACATCTAGTGGCCATAACGGCTTTTCGCTGCCAGGTAGATGGCTACTTGGTGTTTGCTCACCCACCCATTCTCTTCCTGAATGTGAGACCACCCGCTCCAACGTGGGATTTAAACTACTTCTGAGAGCTTTGACTAGTCCTCCCTTTGAGCCCATGGCAACTTGTTCTCTCTTACACTTGTCCATGAAGACAGCATTTCTAATTACCATCACCTCATCTAGGCGCATAGTAGAAATAGTGGCCCTAAAGGCACATCCACCATTCCGAGTCTTTTTTAAAGACAAAGTAACTGTGAGGCCATATCCCAAGTTCCTCCCTAAAGTTGCCTCCACTTTCCGTACGAATCAACAGATCCATCTTTCTGTTTTTTTCTTCTCCCAAAACCACATCGTGACAACAGGGAGGTGATTCTACATATGCTAGATGTTAGAGCCCTAGCATTCTACTTGGACAGGATTAAGGGCTTCAGGAAGTCCCCTATACTCTTCCTTTCATTCAAGGAAAGATCCATGATATCATCTCAGAGACTATCCAGATGGGTTTTGGGTTGCATTAATCACTCTTATCAAGGGTGCAATCTGTTGCCTTCATCCAGAATCCATACACACTCCATGAGGTCAATTTCTACTTCAGTCACATTCCTTAAAGATATCCCTATCTCGAAAATCTACAGAGCAGCAACTTGGGCCATTGCCCACATTTTGCAGAACATTAGGTGACCACTGGAGGTTCAGTGCTAAGCAACCAGTAAGGTCCCTGGACGATCGAGATACAAAAGGAGCACTTAAAGATGATAAAGTCATTGCAGAGAAAATAAATTAATTTTTTGCTTCATTCTTCATGGTTGAGGATGTTAGGGAGATTCCCAAACCTGAGCTGTCCTTTGTAGGTGACAAATCTTAGGAATTGTCACAGATTGAAGTCTCACTAGAGGAGGTTTTGGAATTAATTGATAAACTTAACAGTAACAAGTCACCGGGACCAGATGGCATTCACCCAAGAGTTCTGAAAGAACTCAAATATGAAATTGCGCAACTATTAACTATGGTTTGTAACCTGTCCTTTAAATCAGCTTCTGTACCCAATGACTAATATAACACCAATATTTAAAAAGGGCTCTAGAGGTAATCCCGGCAATTACGTCAGTACCGGGCAAATTAGTTGAAACAATAGTAAAGAATAAAATTGTCAGACACATAGAAGAACATAAATTGTTGGGCAAAAGTCAACATGGCTTTTGTAAAGGGAAATCATGTTTACTAATCTATTAGAGTTCTTTGACGGGGTCAACAAACATGTGTACAAGGGGGATCCAGTGGACATAGTGTACTTAGATTTCCAGAAAGCCTTTGACAAGGTCCCTCACCAAAGGCTCTTACGTAAATTAAGTTGGGATAAGGATAAGAGGGAAGATCCTTTCATGGATTGAGAGCTGGTTAAAAGACAGGGAACAAAGGGTAGGAATAAATGGTAAATTTTCAGAATGGAGAGGGGTAACTAGTGGTGTTCCCCAAGGGTGAGTCCTAGGACCAATCCTATTCAACTTATTCATAAATGATCTGGAGAAAGGGGTAAACAGTGAGGTGGCAAAGTTTGCAGATGACACTAAACTGCTCAAGATAGTTAAGACGAAAGCAGACTGTAAAGAACTTCAAAAAGATCTCATAAAACTAAGTGATTGGGCAACAAAATGGCAAATGAAATTTAATGTGGATAAATGTAAAGTAATGCACATTGGAAAAAATAACCCCAACTATACATACAAAATGATGGGAGCTACAACTAATCAGGAAAGAGATCTTGGAGTCATCGTGGATAGTTCTCTGAAGTCACCCACGCATTGTGCAGTGGCAGTCAAAAAAGCAAACAGGATGTTAGGAATCATTAAAAAAGGGATAGAGAATAAGAAGGAAAATATCTTATTGCCCTTATACAAATCCATGGAATGCCCACATCTTGAATGCTGCATACAGATATGGTCTCCTCATCTCAAAAAAGATATACTGGCATTAGAAAAGGTTCAGATAAGGGCAACTAAAATGAATAGGGGCTTGGAACAGGACCCATATGAGGAGAGTTTAAAAAGGCTAGGACTTTTCAGCTTGGAAAAGAGGAGACTAAGGGGGGATATGATAGAGGTATATAAAATCATTAGTGGTGTGGACAAAGTGAATAAAGAAAAAGTATTTACTTGTTCCCATAATATAAGAACTAGGGGCCACCAAATGAAATTAATGGGCAGCAGGTTTAAAACAAATAAAAGGAAGTTCTTCACACAGCGCCTGGTCAACCTGTGGAACTCCTTGCCTGAGGAGGTTGTGAAGACTAGGACTATAACAGGGTTTAAAAGAGAACTAGATAAATTCATGGAGGTTAAGTCCATTCATGGTTATTAGCCAGGATGGGTAAGGAATGGTGTTCCTAGCCTCTGTTTGTCAGAGGGTGGAGAGGGATGGCAGGAGAGAGATCACTTGAT